GGGATGAGCTCTGCCTTGGCTGCTGGGGGGCTCACGAACTTAGCCCCCATGGGCTGGGGGAGCTGACGTGGGAGGGAAAGAGCTGGGTGACCCCCAAACCCACCCTAGAGTGGGGTGAAGGCAGCGCAAGCTGTCCCCCCTCCTTGCAGAGAGCCGGGGGCCAGCCTGCCACCCCCTGGGGCTGGGACGGGCAGGGGAGGGCGGTACAGGCAGGGGCTGCTCCAGTAACCACCTCCAGCTCCTGCTGTGGGCAGCTGCTGCGTGTCCCACAGCACTGGCAGTGTCCTCCCTGCTCGCCCCTGGGGCAGGCGTGCGGAGGATCCTGCGTCCCTCTGGCCATGCCCACTGCCAGAATAAATAGAAAGTGTTTGCTGGCTTGGCAGCCCCTCCACAAAAGCCGTATTGAACCATTATTCCCCGCGTCGGCTGCAAGCACTAAAAGTGGCGCCTCACATTCTGCCATCTAATGACCCTTCGCAGTCTCCTACAGATGTTTTCTATGACTTACAGCTCCTTTTCCAACAGCCCTGTCCGCAAAAACAAGAGGGGCCACTTTAATTCCAATTAAATACCTCCAGCTAAGCAAACAGTGTGCAGCAGGGCCTGGGCACGGTGCAGCCGCCAGGCCCGGCCCACGGAGTCACTGAGTCTAGACTCCAGATGTGATTTCACCAGCCTCCAGTGTCCCGTGGAAAACGATTCTGGCTCTGCCGCGGGGCGCAGCACCCTGCCCTGAGTCGGGGTCCCCTCACCCTGATGGCATGTGTCCCCCCACCCCCGGTGTGAGTCTGCTACCACATGGTGTGGGGCTCTGCGTCCTCCCCAGCTTCGGGTGGTGGGAGCCTGGTGCCACGGTGGCCTCACGCCCATCCCCATGCAGGCTGTGGTGCAGGAGCTGGCTGGGGGTTGCACGTGGTACCCCCAGCCCTGGCATCACCCTCCTGCTGCCCTGCGGAGCTCGGGGATGAGGGAATGTAGCGATAGGATGAGGGGTAACGGTTTTAAACTGGAAGAAGGGAGATTTAGATGAGATCTCGGGAATAAATTCTTTCCTGTGAGGGTGGTGAGAGCCTGGCCCAGGTTGCCCAGAGAAGCTGTGGCTGCCCCATCCCTGGAGGGGTTCAAGGCCAGGTTGGAAGGGGCTTGGAGCAACCTGGTCTGGAGGGAGGTGTGGCAGGGGGCTGGCAGCGGATGATCTTTAAGGTTCCTTCCAACCCAAACCATTGTATGATGCTGGTGCCAGCTGTACGTGCGGTGGGAGTGCGGCAGCGAGCCAGGAACTTGCCCGGGGCCGTGGGGAGCGGAAGGCCTGGGGAAGGGAGAGCAGGGTCGCCCCTCACCCTGCCCGGCCAATAAGCCAGGGCTGGGCTGGAGGAAGGAAGCGTGCAGGGCCCTGCAAGGAGCCGCCAGCAGAGCCGGCGCCTTGGTGGCCCCAGGCTCGATCTCCTCCTGCACCTGGGCCCTGCGGCACCTCCGCTCCCAGCACCGATGTGGCCACATGGCTCCACTCTGTCTGGGCTGCTGCTGGGCCACCTTCCCCTCGCTGCAGGGTCCCTCCGGCTCGGGGGGGGGCTACGGAAACACAAATGCACTGGCTCCGGCAGGAAACCTCCATCCATGGAGCTGGGCCCAGCAAGAATGGAATGGCCCACCAGGAACAGAGCCAGCCTGCCCCGCTGCCAGCAGCTGTGGGGTTTGGGGTGATCGCCCCATGCCCATGGCCCCTTGGGGCAGCAATATGGGGGTCCCCCTTGTTGGGGGCATCCCCTGGGTACCCTCCCCTCATTCCAAGCTCCTGCCAGGGATTGCAGCAGGGCGGGATGGACTGAGCTGGGGGTGTATGTGGGGCACCCCTGGGTGCAAATGCCAGGCAGTGGGATGCTGGTGCCTGGGGCAGAGGGGGGGACACTGGGGCTGCTCGTCCCCACAGCCCTGCAGTCCCACCACGGCTGGTGGGGTGCAGCTGGTGGAATGGGTGACGGATGCTGGGTGCTGCAGCCCCCAGTGCAGGGCTGGGGATGCCTGGCTGCTGTGGGGGTGCTGCTGGGGAGAGCTGGGGGTCCTGTGGGGTGGCGGGTGCCGGTGCTGGCGCCCGGTCGGCGGCCGAGAGCAGGGAGAGGAAGCAGCCGAGAGCGGCCCCGGCCCCGGCCAGCCGGCGAGGAGGGGCAGGAAACTGGAATAAATCCCAGGAAGGGCCGCCTGGCTCCAGCTGGTCTGGGCTGCAGCGGATGGAGCCGGGGACGGGAAGGGAGAAGGCGGGAGGGGAACGCGCAGGGGCTTTCTCAGGCTTCGGCCCCGCTCCAGCTGTGCAGCCGGCCCCGGGTCACATCTGCATCTCCAGCTCGGCACCATCCTGCGGGCGCAGGGGGGTGGAGGGTCTGCACAGCCCCAGGGAGGAGGGGGGTGTGTGACCCCAGGAGGATGGTGTGGGGTGAAGAGACCTGGATGGAGCCCAGCCCCCAGGCAGGGCAGGAGCAGTGTGGGTTTGGGGGTCTGATTCACTACGGGGGTCCCCATTCTATCCCATGGTGTCCATGCTGCCTTCCCCCCCCGCCCCCAGCAAGACCCCTGCATGGCAGAGTGTGGGACTGGGTGCTGTGGGGTTTGGGGTGCCTGCTGGCCCCCATCCCCATCATCACCAGGGCCCCCGCCCGGGCTGAGCCCAGCCAGCGCCATATGGCCGAGGCCGCTGTTACCGCGCTGTGCGCCCCGTTCCCAGAATTGACATGGAAATGAAGCTATCCGTCTTGCCGGACAACACTAGCCACGCTGGCCAGCGTGCCATGCTGGGACCCCGCGCCCAGCTGTGGCCAGGGCAGTGTCCTGGAGCCACATTGGCAGCCCCAACCCCAGCACCCCATCCCCAGCACCCTGACACCAGAGAGATGGGTGAAGGCGTCCTGCGGGCAGGGGCATCCCGTGGGTGAGGGCTACTGTTGGCCAGGGCGGCCATGCCACGTGTGCCACGACACCCGCCACAGCCGCCAAGCCTGTCCCAGGTCCCCATGCCGCCCGGGGTGGCCGGTGCTTGGGGCCGTGGAGGGTGGCTGGTCCCGGTGCATTGTTGGCGGTGCAGCTGGCGGGGCCCGGCGGCACTGAAAGGCATTCCTGCGGACAATGTCCCCGGCCTCCCCCGCCGCGGCCCGGCCACTGCCGCCAGATGGGGGCTAATTAGCAGCTTTGAGAGCCGCGGTGGGAACCGGGCAGCACCAGGCCCTCCGCCGAGCCCTGAATGGAAGGGGGTGGGCGACCCCAGCGCCGTGCCCACCCTGGGAACCGCTGCCGCACCGGGATGGGGGGACACAGGGAGGAGGGACAGAGGGAGGGACAGAGGGCTGGTGGGACAGAGGGATGCAGCCCCCACCCCCCCGGCCACACTGGCAGGATTAAAGCCTGTCCACACTCTCCAGGATTGCTGCTCCCCCCCCGAGAGGAGGAAGATGAGCGGAGGCCTTCGGCTCCCTGAACACCCTGGGGAGGCTGAACATGGAGGGGTTTGGCCCCCAGCCCACCCCCACAAAGGGGACGGCACCGTGGCCCCCCACACCGGGGCCAGCCCGCATGACACACTCTCCAGCTGGAAAGGGCAGAAGGTGTCTGGGCTTGTCCCCATGGCCCTGCCACCACGAAGGTGCCATCACAGCAGGGCGCAGCGGTGCAGCCCACCCTGGCAGCCCCGTCCCCTGGCGAGATGGGGGCAGCCGAGCACGGCACGAGGTCGGGGTGCACGGGAGCTGCGCTGTCGGGGTGCCCAGGCTGGCTTTGTGGCAGAGCCCAGTGCAGCCTCCTGCTGCTGCCAGCAATGGGGAGCACAGCCGGGCCCTGGGGGCACACAGGGGGCAGCAGGGGCTGCTCTGGCACACGGATCAGTGTGCAAAGTGCGGTGTACGTGTGCATGGGCGAGCACAGGTGTGCACGGATGTGTCTGTGTACATTCATCCATGTGTACGTGTGTGTGCGTGTACTCACAGGGGTGGTTGTGCGTGTATGTGCATCCACAGGTCCGTGTATCCGTGTCAATCTACCTGCACACGTGTGTTGGTGTATGTCCATATGTCTGTGTGTGGGTGCACGTGTGTGTGCACGCCTCTGTGTGTGCACACGTGCACTCACATCCATGTGTGTGCACACACATGCTCTGTGCACACCCCCTGCTCGCTGCTGCACCGTTTCGTGCTATTGGGGGGGGTGGGCCGGTGGGGGGGCTGTCCTTGTCAGCGCTGCCCCGCGAAGCTGCGGGTCCGGTGGGCCGGGATCCTGCTCGGGGTGTGTGTCCCCCCCCCCGCCCCTGGGGTTCCCGGCCCCGCCGGTTGCACCTCCCTGCAGGTGCGAGCCTAACGAGCAGTAACGCTAATTACCGCCCAGATCCGAAGCCCTTCAGGGCAGGGACCGGCTCGGGACGCTGCCTCGCACGGGGGCTGCAGCCGCACCGGTAGGACCCCTCCTGTGTCGTGTGTCCCCCCCGTGTCGTCGGTGTCCCCCCCCGCCACGGCAGGACCCCGCTCGCAGCCC